GTCTCGATCTCTTGACCTCGTGATCCGCCCGTTTTGGCCTCCCAAAGTGCTAGGATTACAGGCTTGAGCCACCGCGCCTGGCCCTAGAAGGCATTTTAGATGTATTTCCTGCATATGTACTTGAGATACCAAAGCAATGTCAAGACAGAGAAGAACCAAGGAGACCTATTTACCTTGGCACTTTCCAGTGCTTCATTGAGTGGGATCACTTCATGCTCCTTATGTTCATCAAAAACCTTCTGAAAAGCTCTTATTGGAGTCTTACAAGTGACACAGAAGACATCAGCAGCTTCTTCTTCATCCTCTTCCTCGGGGATGACATAGCATTCATACTCCTCGCTGGCACGGCCGTGTGTGTACCTATAGGCTTCCCGCAAGTCCTGGCACTGGCCTGCCGAGCCCCACCCTCCGAAGCCCAGGTCCTCAGCCTCCGCTGTCTCTCCACTAGGTCTCCAGTCTCTCTGCTCCCTGGCTGGGTCTCTCCTCTTCATCACATAAGGAGGATATTCTGAAACCCCTGTTCTGGGCATGTTTTCATCAACAAACTCATCCCTTAATTCATGATCATCTTCAAGTCCATATAAGTGGACAAGTTCATCCACTTCCTCTTGAAGGTCTCTTTGAGCCTTACCATCCCCTGCTCCTCTTGACTCATTGGCCATTTCAGCTTGGACTACTTCTTTCCTCATCCTAGTATTCTCTTCTGGAAAGAGCTGCAGTCTGTCTTCAGAGTCATGCAGGTCCATGTGGTAAAAGTGGAAATCCTTGGGAGTAGACCTGTCCAGCCCCAATTCCTGCCCTGATTCCTCCTCCACTGTAACTCTGGAAGTCCTCAGAAGCACCTTTATATAAGAAAGATCCTTCCTGGACACTTAATAGTGAATATCTGGGCCCTGGAACACAAAAGGAGGAGGAAAATCAGTTCTGGAGAAGGGCATTGCAGCAGATGATCATTAGATTGGGCTCTACTCATACAAAACTTTAAAAAATTATCTGTGTAGCTCAGTTGTGGTTTCCCTTTGAACCATCTGTAAAAAAAATTTGTTTTCTATGGGAGGATGGGCTTTGTAAGGTTAAAAGAGACAAAAGAAATTTCAAAACAAATGTCTAATAGGTATGTCTGACAAAATACTTCCCTTCTTATACATTAAAAAAAAA